ATAACACCTCTATTGATTTTTCAGATTAAAAGTCAATGTATTACTGCTACAGTAAAAACTTCATTATAAGGATCTCATAGTGATATTTTTCATTTGTAAGGAATTAGGTATAAAATCTCCCACTCTTTCTATAATATGTCGCTGAATGTGCTCCTTTATTTTAGAGAGTTTTACAAGCAAAATCATATATTGACTTTCAATCCTTCAAAACACAATATGTATATTAAATCTTGAGAGTCAGACTTTCAGACTTTTAGGCTTTCAGCCTCTCAGGCTTTCAATCTTTAAAAACTGTCAATCTTGAGGACTGAGTATTTTAATATTCATTTTGTAAGTCTTGTCTTTTATGTCATTAGGATTAATCCTTAGTAATTCAAACTTTTTCATATTTGTAAAACCAAAGTGTTGAAATACAGTGTTTGTGTAATCTTCTTAATGTTTATCAAAAAAATACTGCTTTTAATACAGTCAAATATAATTTGTGATGATCAAAATTTCCAAATTGCCTGACCTATACATATTTAAAGTTTCAATATCATACGCTCTTGAATATCCATAAATATCAATATATTGATTAAGCATTGGCTATCAACCATACACTTGTTAACCTAAGGAAGGCTCTTACCATAAGTTAAACTCATGGAATTCTTCATGCAATTTTGAAGAATCTCTGTTATAAGGGATGGTAAAGACAAAAGACCCATAAATTTCCAAGTAGTAATAATATTTAAAAATATATATCCACATTAAATTGAGGAACATTTGAAGAACCTTTTTTCCTTCATAACTCATGAAATTTCATGTAGATAGTGGGTATGATGTGTAAATAATCTTTATGAAAAAAAGGATGGTGTACAGTTAGCCTCACCCAACACCCAAGGGAGAGGGGAAGGGGGTTGAACCCTTTTTTTTTGTCCAGGAAACCTGAATTTTAAAGTTTAAAAAAGTTATAAAATTAATCAAATTTAAAAATTAATATTTCTTAAGTTTTTTTTAAATTATTTTTTTCAAATTTTCTTTTTAAAAAGAAAATTTGAAAGTTAAATAAAAACAAAACTTAAGAAAATTAACCTTATAAATTTAATATAATTTTATGATTTTTTTAATCTCCTTTAAAATGAAAATGTTTCCTGGACAAAAAGGGTTCAACCCCCTTCCCCTCTTCCTTGGGTGTTGGGTGAGGCTAACTTTACACCATCCTTTTGTTTTTTCATAAAGATTATTTACACATCATACCCACTATCTACATGAAATTTCATGAGTTATAAAGAAATCAGCAGTTTTTTATTTCAATAGTTAAATAAAAGAAAAAAATTTAATTCAATTTATAATTTTTTTAAAAACAAATTTAATTCAATTTTATAAAAGGTTTCCTGGACAAAAAAAGGGTTCAACCCCCTCCCCTCTCCCTTGGGTGGGGTTCTTCAAATGTTCCTCAATTTAATGTGGATATGTTCCCAATTTAGTGTGGATATAAGTTTTAAATATTATTACTACTTGGAAATTTATGGGTGGGTCTTTTTTCTTTACCATCCCTTATAACAGAGATTCTTCAAAGTTGCATGAAGAATTCCATGAGTTTAACTTATGGTAAGAGCCTTCCTTAGGTTAACAAGTGTATGGTTGATAGCCAATGCTGAATCAATATATTGATATTTATGGATATTCAAGAGTGTATGATATTGAAACTTTAAATATGTATAGGTCAGGCAATTTGGAAATTTTGATCATCACAAATTATATTTGACTGTATTAAAAGCAGTAATTTTAGATAAACATTAAGAAGATTACACAAACACTGTATTTCAACACTTTGGTTTTACAAATATGAAAAGTTTGAATTACTAAGGATTAATAGTAATGACATAAAAGACAAGACTTACAAAATAAATATTAAAATACTCAGTCCTCAAGATTGAAAGTTTTTAAAGATTGAAAGCCTGAAAGTCTGAAAGCCTGAAATCCTAAAAGTCTGAAAGTCTGAATCTCTCAAGATTTAATATACATATTGTGTTTTGAAGGATTGAAAGTCAGTATATGATTTGCTTGTAAAACTCTCTAAAATGAAGGAGCACATTCAGTGACATATCATAGAAAGAGTGGGAGATTTTATACCTAATTCCTTACAAATAAAAAATATCACTATGAGATCCTTATAATGAAGTTTTACTGTAGCAGGAATACATTAACCTTTAACCTGAAAAGTCAATAGAGGTGTTATGATATTCATGGACAACAATGGTATAGCAAAAAAATTGTGCTGATCTTTGACCTGAGAATCCAAAATATATGAAGTTTGTTTAATTAACCTATCCATGAAGTTTGATGAATATTAACTAAACAATTAAATTTAGCAGATGTCCACATCTCTTTGACCTTTTGACTAAAAACTTAATAAGGTCATTTATTTACCTTTGTGAAACTTTGATGAGTATCTTATATGTTGGATATATTAGTTGAACACAATCTAATCTGAGTAAAGAGGAAACCTGGAAAAGCTTTTATCCCTTTGTATGAACAAATTAATTGATGTCATGCAGATATCTTAACCAAAATATCAGAACAATCTGATGACTCTTAAATAAAAAGTTCTCATTACACTAGTCAGAAACCATTAGTCTACCTGTTAAACACAAAAAATATGAATGTCAACTCAACAAAGTAAGTAAGGTTCCTTTTCTTCAAAACAGTAAAATTCTGATGCATTGGGTGAGTGTTTGTTACTTTATGCCTAATAAAGAATTTTTTTCCCTCCATTTTGACTGTATGGATTAAGAGCTGTTCATATAATTGAATCAATGTAATGTCATTCTAAATGTCATAGTACCCATCATTCATAATATGTACAAGTTTCAATCCTAATAGATGAATCCACATTTTGTTTTTATTTCACATCACTTGGCAGCCATATTTGAGGGAAACTCAAAATTCTCTGTCCATGTTAATTTCTTGTGTATACCTTCATCATTTGACATAACTCATTTGCTTTTTGTATTTTGATTGCCTAAATCAGAGCTATTCATACATAGAAAGAGAACAAAAAAAAATGAATACAGTGAATTTATTGCAATAATACCTACATGTTTGATACATAAAGAGAAATATTTTTTTCATTCCTTTTTGACCTTTGGATTGACCCTGAATAGAGATACCATTTACTTTTTGGCAAGTGTAAACTATATACTGCATGACTAAACATGGTTTGTATATTGAAATATGAAATGGTTTCTTTAATGCTTAAATCAAAATACTCCTACTGTCCTAGTGAGAATTATGCTCAATCAACTTTGTGAAATATTCCCAACTTCCAATGCTTCTTATTTACATTTAAAAAAAAACTGACTCAAATAAAATTGTTTGTTTTCTCATTTATTTTACAAGAAATAACATGCTGACAGTGAATCTAATCATTTTTTAAAACTGGTTAAAGTAATGTTTACAATTGTCTTAAAATGCTCAAATGCAAGTTTATTTCATACACAAATACCTTAAATGTATAGACTAAATGTACTTATAGATTCAATATATAGATTAACCCCTTATAAATAGTAAAAACCACTTCTTAAATCTGATTTTCTTGCCTATTCTCTCATGCATTACCTTATTTGAGTATTCTCAAATTATTGATTACATGAACAAACAAATTTAAGACAAAACCACAATATATGCTGAATGCCCTGAAATGAAATGGTTACATATGTAAGATGTGTAACACATCATGTACAACTTTTAAGTCTACAAAATTTTAAGTTAACCATATTATACAATAAGACTACTTTTTTCAAAGTTATGAAAAATTCTCCACAAAAAAAATGTATTTATGCAAAAGATAAATGTTAGGGTATAATTTTAAAATACATTTTACATGAATCACATAAAGAACATAACCAATCATTTTTTGTGGTTGTTTTCAATTGGAACATCTGTGAACAAACATTCTGTTTTTGTCTTATTGATACATAAAAAGCGTCCAAAAATCATTTGGAATTGTTGTGTTAAACCCTGATACTCAGAATTTTAAGAGTTTCTGATGTGTGCCCTACTTAGAAATGTTTACAATGTAACAAAGATGAAACTCATAATTGATTTAATCAGCAATTATAAAGTCATCAGGTTTACACATGCTTTTCTAACACATCATGTACATTTTTTTTTCTACTAGTATGTCTTTGTTCACAAAAAATTGAAATCAACAGTACTTAGCATTCCATATTAAGAAATATGAACCCTAGCTATTAAAAATCTAAAAATATATTTGTGCATCAATGCATTATGTTTAACAAAACAATCTCTTTCACTGTGATGAAAATTGTCTTCTTCATATAACATGCAGATGAAGAACTTCTTTGGATGATGTCATTTTCACATGTAGAAAAGAAACTAATTCAACTAAAACTAAAAGACAGTCATTAAAATTTTAAGGACATTAAAGGATGATATCAAGACCGAAGTCCAGGAATTGATAAAATTCTACAATTATCATCCAAAGATGTATATGTTTGGATTTATTTTTTAATTCACAAGCAAATGATATGCTGCCATTTAATCTTTCAAACTTAAAAAAAAAAATTCTATACTTTTGAATTAAAAATTTCAAAATCTAGAGGAGTCTTCCCAATACCTATCTACATGTATTTATGACTGAAGGTATGTAAATCACCAGAGTTGCTGTACTGCACCATTTGAATAAAAGTCATATCCACATTCTTGACTTTTTTCCCTAAACCTTATTTCAAAACATAAATTATTCCAACCAGTCTTTATCTATGCAGTGATAATAAAATTTTTACATAATTCTAAGGTATTACATAGTAATAGTCTTTAAACATCCTTGAACATAGTGCATATGATTTACATTTTCAATTCTTTCCAAAGAATATGCTATGCCACCCAATAGAGCTGATATAAAGTCTCTAGGTTATCACAAAATGTTAAAGTTACAACAACTAAATTTTACCCAGGAGAAAATGATCCAAAAATCTATAGAAAATCTCCGAATCTTTCTTTACTTATGATGTGAATTTTGCAGGTTACAAATTATTGTCAAAGGTAGTTATCTCAATAATCTCATGCTTTGACCCTGACAAAGTGTCCTATAAAACTAAGTGTATTACTCTAACCTGTTCTGTGTAGTAAGCATGAAGTCTAATGGTTGATAGAAATATTCAAGATATTATTACATCACAGATCAGGGGACACTTACATCTTTATGGGGGTCCTATTGAGACCTATTAAATTCAAAATAGGACACACACACACATACACAAACAAAATGTATTTACAGTTCCAGGAAAGTAATAATTACACCAAAGCTAGCTTTTAAACATCTGTGTAATTTGTTAGGGGTTGTAGAAATAAGATGAAAAATAAAAGGTTTAAATGTATACTTCTCATACATAACAACTGTCTTCAATATGAATTGGTAAAAATAAAAGTCACATTTAGATACTTTGAAGTCTGGGAATTATTTTTTTTTTTTGAAGATCTCATACTATCAGAAAATCACAATATCAATTCTAGGATTTGATTAGACCTCAGTTTGTTAAATGACTGCAATTTATCTATTGTTGTGTATGACAGAATATGAAAGATATGAAGGGGAGAGCTTTTGACCTTTTTTTTTCCTTCATCATAGTTTAAAATATATATTATACCGGTCTTTATCTATGTAGTGAATATAGGATTTTTACAGAAACCCTAGGTATTACATAGTAATAGTCATATAAACACCCTTGAACATTGTACATTTGATTAACATTTCAATCCTTTCCTAAGAATTTGCACCTAATTTTTATAAAGTCTATAAGTTATCACACAATGTTAAAGTTATTGCATTACAGGACTCAAATCAGTAATCTCAGTAACTAAACTTTTACCCAGGAGTAAATGATCCAAAAGAATAAATCTATAGAAATGTCTTATTGATTCTTCATCTGTGTACTTATGATGTGAAGTTTGTAAGTTACAAATTATTGTCAAAGAAGTCATCTCAATAATCTTATGCTTTGACCTTGACAAAGTGTCCTAAACAACAAAGTGTATTCCTACAACCATTCTATATGTAATTAGTATGATGAATATGGTATGATAAAGATATTCAAGATATTATTAAACCACAGATTATGGGACACTTGCATCTTTATTGGGGGTCTTATTGAGACCAATTTTAAATTCAAAATTAAACATGATACATACACAAACAAAATATATTTACAATTCCAGGAAAGTTAAATAATAACATTAAATCCAGCATCTGGATATCTGTGTAATTTCTAGGGGGTTGTAAAAATTAGATGAAAAATAAAAGGTTTAAATGTATAATTCCCATACATAACAACAGTCTTCAATATGAATTGGTAAAAATAAAAGTCACATTCAGATACTTTGAGGTCCGTGAGAATTAGTTTTTAAAGAGCTCATGCTATCAGAAAATCATATTTTCAATACTTGATTTGACTAGATCTCAGTTTGATAAATGATTACACTTTATCCATAGTCAGTGTCTGACAGTGAAAGATACAATCCTGGGCCCTTTCTTTGTCATCCTGTAAACCACAGTCTATGATCGTACTGGTTAAATTGGTTGGAAATCATATTTATCTCTGTTCTTCTTAAATCCTCCATCTTCTTAAGTTTGGTTTTCTTGTTTCAGTGTTCCAAGAGAGGATATTCTGTTAGTCTTTGCATAATCTGATAGTCTTTCACCATTCTAAGAGTAGACATAGATCATTTCCATAAGCCCTCACTAGAGAATCCTGAAAAATAAAAAAAAAATAATGTCTTAGTTGAAAAAAAAAATTGTAATGTAATATAAGCTTGATGGAATTCTAAATATAGACGAAAAGGGTATAAATACAAGTTGTAACATAAGATTTTGACTTTTCATATTAACCATGGGTAACACCTCTAGTAAAGAAAAGAGTAAAGGAATGAGTAAAATTCAGTTTGGAGAGAGAATTCTTTCAGAGAAAGATGTAGACAGAGGTATACCAGTTAAAATAAAAAAAGATGGCACTATTGAGATCATTTCTCAAGAAGAATATAACCAATTATGTCCAGAAAAGGGTGATCCTAATGTTGTCAGAGATTACATAGAAAGACCCTTGATTGCAGAAGAAGCCAATGAAGAATATAACCATTTATTACCAAAAGAGGGTAAGAATTACTTGGATTACCCTGAAAGACCTTTGACTAGAGAAGAAGTCAAGTTTATAGATGATAAGAGAAAACAGTTGTCAGAAAAAAAAAGATTGTTAAAGACACATGATTTTTAGCCCACAAAACCATTGGAGATACAAGGATTACAAGATACAAGGATTAATGGAGGAAGTCCAAACTGAACTCTTGGAAGACATTAAGGCTCATTATGAGAGTAACTTTCCAGTGTTTGTTTATTACAAAATTATGTATTCTGATAAAAAAAAAAAAAAAAAAAGTTTTCACTTTCATTTGTTGTGCCTTTGACCATTTAAATTGACCTTATGGTCAAGATTGTGATATATACACTCTGATAATCATCTATGATGTCTCTATGATGTTTACCTCAAAAGATTGAATCAGGGTATTTGTGTTCAAAGAGCTGAAGAAACTATACAGACAGATCTAAGATGTTGGAAGCATACATATTAATGAGGTTAAAGGAGATATAACACTAGATTATTAAAAAGAAAGAACACAAACTCATAGAAATGATATTGAAAGTACCTTTTATGAATAAAGTGTCATGCTCCAAGGTATTATTTTTATAAACAGGAGAAGGTTTACAGCAGTCCCATACACTCATAAGAAGATCTTGGGTAGTAGAAACACCAGGAAATTTTATTTCCACACAATCAGATCATCTTACATCAGTTATAAGGTTACAATCTTTATACATAGTTAAGAGGTTCATTAAGATTTCTTTTCTGGTCATCCTAATGAGCCACATTATAGTATTCTTTCTCTTTGATAGAATGTTAATATTAAATGGAAAATTCAGAATTCATCAGCAATTGAAGTCAAAACTTCCTATCTTTACCAATTATGCTATTAAGGAAGCTGGGGTTAACAAATTAGCCATATTTAACTTATTCTATAAATATGTTATCTTCAGCTGTTAACTATCATTTGGCAAAGAAAAATTTCATACATTTTAGTTTTAAAAATTTGATCATGAATTTTTATGCCTTTTCTTCTTCTTCTAAAGGATATCAATAGAGTTTAAACATGACCATGACCACCAAGCCCTCTTTATTTTAAAAAAATCATATATCATTTACTTATCAATTCAAAAATATAAAAATGCATATGTAAATAAATAAATAAATAAATAAAAATTACAATTGTATCTCATTGAAACTTTACCTTCAAGTTTGTGTGTTTCTATGTTGATTGACTAACTGTGTATTTCCAAAGGAAGACCAGCAGCCAGGCTTCACTTCATAGAGAATGGATTATAGATGGTTAAGAACAAACCAATTCTTCCATGTTGAGGACTGTAGAAATAAAACCATTTTGTTAATATGACAGAGTACTGCATGAAACAATGCATGTTTAAATACAACATGTACAATGCCAAAAAAGATCATGAAAATATTTGTTTTTAATCTCAAAAAATTGTTTTTAACATTAACTCCAGATGAGAAAAGTTCATCATGTTATCTATAGATAATAAACAAGCACAACTACTGTATTAATATCATAAATAAAATGATTATCAGATTAATTATTTAGACACTAAAAAACTTACTATCTTTATGATATTGATTTCCATTATCAGATGTTTTTTATCCATTTTTTTTTTATCCATTTTAAAATATAAACATTTAAATAAAACAGAATTAAATAAATGAAAATGATATCTCATTGAAACTTTACCTTCAAGTTTGATTGTTTCTATGTTGGTTGACTAACTATGTATTTCCAAAGGAATTTGGGCAGACAGGCTGAACTTCATAGAGAATGGATTATAGATGGTTGGGAATAAAACATATCTTCCAGGTTGAGGACTGTAGAAAATATAATCATTTTGTTAATATGACAAGGAACTGCATGAAACATTGCATGTTTAAATACAGTGCCAAAAAGTTCATGAAAATAGTTCATCATGTTATCTTTAGATAACAAAAGAAGCACAGTTACTGTATTAATATCACAAATACAAAATGATTATCAGTGTAATTTTTAGACACTAACAGACTTTCTCTTAACAGCATATTCAATTTTGTTTAATACCTGTCAGTACAGCATACAAAAAGATATTAGCATATACAACATGTAGTCCTACATTTTTTGAAAAGCTCATTACCAAGAAACAAAAGTGAAAATGAAAATATATGTATGCCATATATACCACATATTTAGAATCAAAACAAGGATAAACCTTTTGTAGATTCTTACTTTTTCTTTTATTACATTCCTTATAGATCACAATTTAGTAAGTCTGAATTCCATGGGTAACAGACATAATGAATTATGACATTATATCATAATTTATGCAAAAGGACTTATTAACAATATGAAGTTTCCTTAGTATATTTTAGACAAAATAAGACTGTGCTTATATGAATGTTAGAGATATTAGATCACATAAGAATTACACAGTAATTAAATTAAACCATATAATCATGGTTAAATGCAAAGATGACCTTCATAGGAAATGTAAACAAAACAAAGACAAACTTACCAGAATTATCCAATTATATGCCCAATTAAATAATCCAGTGAAATAACATCTCAGCTGATCCTGAAAAAAAAGCATACAATATTCAGTGATACACAAATTAACCTCATTTTACAAAGGAAGTAAAGCAACAATTGACAGACAAACAGGACAGAAATGTAAAAGATACCATATGTATTTTACCAAAATTTAGTAAACATTTTTTCTGATTTAAATTCAATCACAGAATGACCCATCATAGTAATATTAAATACACTCTGGGTTACATGCAAATTATACCTTACATGAACTGAGAATAAATACCCCATTTACATTCATATAAACTGAATTTTACATAACTAATTACTCTTTTAACTGATGTCACCATTAGTATGTCAGAATATTCAGGGTGTACAAATCATGTATATTCACTTTTAAAGTACTCAATATATATTTTACATGTTGATGTTTGAAATCACTGACTAAATAAAATACATACATGTATATACATGAAGGTTTTAAAAAAAAAGGGGGGGCACACATGTTTATAGATTTACAGAGATGCTCAGACTGAGTTTTTCCCACTTTCATTGGGCCACTGTTGCACCAGAATGTAAAAATATGAGTGACAAATAAGGCAAAAGATTCTGTATATTTCATTAAAAAAGATTTGAGACAAAAGATTCATTGGCATAATATGATCTGATTGATTATCTCCATATCCTTCTTTTGGTCACTGTGATTAAAGATTCATAGAAATATTAGAAATGACAACTGAGAATATCACTTTAGTTGTTTTAAAAGCATGTATCAGTATTTTATAAGATATGCTAGGAGTCTCCTCATAAGAATATTTAGAATACTGATCCAATAAAAGGAATGTGAGACAATATGATCATAACTCATGCAAAAAAGATTTATCAACATTTTGAGGATCTTTTAGTGTCCTAGTGTATTTCAGGGTAAACAATGGCAGTGTTTATATGAATGTTCTAAACATAAGGTATATAACACAGTAATAATGAATAAATACAAAGATGACCTTCATAGAAAATGTATAAAGAAAAGTTTGTTAAAACTTACCATGTAACCAGGTAACTCAGTAGAGTAATATTCATTAAATAATCCAGTGAAATAACATCTAGGCTGATCCAGGATTCAGCTGTTCAGAACTTTCTTGGAAGAAAAACGGTAGAAAATCAGTTTTGGTACTGAAATCCATAGGACCATACTGTTATTACATGAAGTCTCAAGCGCTGTGAAAGTCTGTGTTATTGTGTCAAAATAAGCAGCCATCGCGGCTTGTGAAGGACTAACATGACGTCGCTGCCAAGTTTATGACGTCACAATGCATAGGTAAGCTCGCTGACTAGATAGTTTACAGAAAGATAAGTCCAACCTATTTTTGCACTTTTTTGCAAGGTCTTGTGTGCAACAGGTAGGAAATCCAAAAAAGATGATGCAACAGGTATAAAAAGATGATGCAACAGGTATAAAAAAGATGATGCAATAGATCTAAAAGATGATGCAATAGATATATAAAGATGATGCAATAGATATATAAAGATGATGCAATAGATCTAAAAGATGATGCAACATATGTACTGAATTGACCCGGCTATCCTTAGAACCCCCTAATCTGCACTCCCTTGACCCACCTATCCCCCCCCCAGGAGCTGCACTCTCTTGACCCACCTATCCCCCCAAAAAGTGCACTCTGTTGACCCACCTATCCCCTCAGCCCCAAAAGTGCACTCAGTTGACCCACATGTTTCAAAATTCTGGAATTTTTATCGTAAATTTTATTTCATCATAAATGGTTGATTAAAATCAAAAAGCAGATTTTAAAGCATTAATTTATTTTCAGACTTTATTTTCAGACTATGTATCCCCCACCCCTACCCCAAGTATCCTGACCCAGGGGCCCTGAAATTAACCATTTTGGAAGAAGAATATTTCATCATCATTAATATGTACTTAGAACATTGGCATAATATCCAGGAGCAAAGGAAAAGGTTTTCGAAGAATTCATGTATGTTCACGATATAATCATTAGAGCCTTGCCCTAACACCAAAACCCCTGACCCTGGGGCCTTGAAATTCAAAAATCTGGAAGAGTCATCCTTCCTCATCATAATTATGTACATAGTTCATTGGTTTAAAAATCAGTAGCAGAGAAGAATTCATTTTTACAATATAATCAATAGAGTCCCGCCCTAACACCAGAACCCCTGACCCCGGGGCCATGCAATTCACAATTTTTGAAGAGGCATTCTTATTGAACATAACTATGTACTTCGTTAGTTTGTTTAATACCCAGGAGCAGAGAAGAAGATTTTCAAAAAATAACGCATTTTCACTATATAATTTATAAAGCCCCGCCCTATCACCTAAGAACCTCTGACCCTGGGGTCATGAAATTCACAATTTTGGAAGAGGCAGTCTTATTCAACACAACCATGTACTTACTTAGTTTATTTAATGCCCAGGAGCAGAGAAGAAAATTTTCAAAGAAATAATGCATTTTTACTATATAATCTATTTAGCCCGCCCTAGCACCAGAACCCCTAACCCCAGGGCCATGAATTTCACAAGTTTTGTAGAGGACTCAATGCTAATTACAATCATGCAAACAGTTTGACTGCTTGATGTCCAGGAGTAAAGAAGAAGATTTTTAAAGATTGCATTAATTTTAGTGGTTTTGGCCCAACCCCTCAGGTCCCAGGGGGGCAGGGACCCTGAAATTCATAATTTTGTTTCCCTTTACCCATAGATGCTTTATGCCAAATTTGGTTGAAATTGGTTATGTGGTTGCAGAGAAGCTGAAAATGTTCAAATGTTAACGCATGACGACGGACGAAAACGGATAGCAATAGGTCACCTGAGTTTACTCTGGTGACATAAAAAAACGAGTCGAGTGGGCCAGGGGGAAAGGGGTATTGGAAAGTTGATGGTGACTGGAATCGTGTTATTTTTTCTGACGAATGTAAAGTGATCATTGCAGAAAATAATCGCGTATTTGTGTGGCGGAGACCCGGAGAGGGGTGGATGCCGCATTGCATTAGTCCCGGTCGTGGAAAATTCAGGGAAATAATTGATAATGAACTGTGTCCAGTTGTTGCCCAGCATTTTCCACAGAATGACTATATTTTTAAGACGACAATGCGCCAGTGCATTGCGCGAGGATTGTGGTAAATTAAAAAACTGAAAATAATATTCGAGGAACGTTGTTGCCTGCCCAGTCTCTGGATGCTAACATATTTGAAAACTGTTGGTTTTTGTTGAAAAATCAGCTTAGGAAATGTGCAAACAGAATTATCAACGCAGCAGATCTAGAACAAGAAATTTGAAGAATATGGAAAACCATCCCATCTAGAACAAGAAATTTGAAGAATATGGACCACCATCCCCATTCATTATATACGGAACCTTTACAGATCACTTCCACGAATGATCAAGATTATTAGATCAAAAGGGTATGCCACAAAATATTAGGTAAGTTTCATTTAAACCAATCTTATTTATAATGCGGAAATCGTTTTTTTTTTATTTACCGGATCAGTATGTTGCTAATAACGCGACGACACCATTTTGTTTATAATACATATGGAGAAATGGTGCACAATTTATTCATCAGATTGCTACCACGTGATTATTTCTCATTAATATTCATAAGATACCTTATAAACTTGAAATATTCTTTTTCTATATATCTGCATGTTAAAACTTGCAAGCCTCTATAGTTTTGTATTTTGTTCAAGCCTCCCAGCTCCGTCATAGTTACAGAGCTAGAATTTTGTGTGATTAACAGCTGACGACTCAGAATATCGTTTTCCCTACATTATTAAGGTCATCATAATGTAAGAAATTGCAGTTTTCAAATTAAAAAGGCGGTCGTAACTCCTCATGGAATGTGAAATCATATGTATTTTATAAAAATAGGCTCTCTTCTGTACCTATAAATCGGCGGAAGAACTCGGTCAACTAGCAATGAACACTTACATTTCATCATCAAAAATGATAAAACACCAATTCTGTACTCCTTTCTTCTTCAAAACAATAAACTCTCGCTTCGAATTTTTAAATCAAAAAGGCGGTTACAACTTTCACTTTGATATTTACAATCTTGTCATTTCCGGTAGAAAATGTAAGGGAGAATCAAACCCTCGGCGGAAGAACTTTATCAGAAATAGGTAGGTTATGAAAAATTGCGATTTTTTTGCATTTTCTCTACATAAGACTTTTTGGAATCGGCCGCCATTATCGTTCCAAAATGGCTGATATGCAAATGAGTAGAATGAACACTATTTCTCCATATGATTAAGATCAGCCGCTGTATATTGAAATTGAAGCAAAACTGTTGGAGGAGTAACGTTTTAAAATAATTTCATGGAAATTTCCAATTTTTAAAAACCATGGTAACACCGTTTACCAAAATCAAACATCGATGCACTTATAACTATGTATCTTAGTGTAGTCTACTTGTGTGCCAAGTTTATTGAAATCGGACCAAAACTGTAGAAGGAGTAGCGTTTTAAAGACATTACTACTTTAAGTAAGCACGGCAACCAAATCGAAACTAAAAACCGCTGTACTAAATTATCAGACCAAAACTTAGCTGCAGAACTAATTTAAAAGCTCTTTGGTTGAGAAAAGTCGGAGCTACAGTTCTGAAGCTAACCAAAACTGTAGGTGGAGTAGCGTTTTTAAAGGAGTCTCTAAGAAATTTTCTTCTTTTAGTAGGCATGGGAAAATCGCCCAATGAAATGAAAAACCGATTTACTAATTTATGTATCTTAGTTTAATCTCCTTGTTCCACTGTGCAAGTTATATTGAAATCAGACCAAAACTGT